AAACCCTCCTAATGAAAACAGTAGAAACCCCTGGGATAAAAGACATTTGATTCCTTAGTGAGGGTGTGAGCAGGCCTCTTTGGAAGCAGTGATCAACCTGAGGCTTAAGGGCAGCTAGAGACTGAGTGCAAATGATGAGGATTAAGATGGCTTGTTGCTATTATTTAAATAATTCACCTGTTTGATGGAACTTTTTATTGAGAAGTAATGCAAATACTTACCCTAAATTTCCTTGGATTTTATACAAGCAGGGCCTAAATTGTTTATGAAAATTTGAGACACCTATAAGGATTAGTACTATTTGGTAGTTTATAGCATTAAGATTTAATATACTTTTTTTTAAAAAAAAATTTTATTTTATTTTTATTGGAAAGGCGGATATACAGAGACAGAGAGGAAGATCTTCCATCCGATGATTCACTCCCCAAGTGAGCGCAACGGCCAATGCTATGCCGATCCAAAGCCAGGATCCAGGAACAGCTTCTGGGTCTCCCACGTGGGTGCAAGGTCCCAAAGCCTTGGGCCGTCCTCGACTGCTTTCCCAGGCTACAGGCAGGGAGCTGGATGGGAAGCGGGGCTGCCCGGATTAGAACTGGCGCCCATATGGGATCCCGGGCGTGCAAGGCGAGGACCTTAACCACTGCGTCACCGTGCTGGGCCCAAATAATATACTTTAAAAAAAAAAAAACCATTTGAGGAGCTGTCAGAGAGCACTCTAATTCTCTGGCTCACTCTCCAGTTGCCAATAACAACCAGGAACAGCCCAAAGCCCACAACTCAATCCAGGTTTCCCACAGGGGTGGCAGGGTCACAATGACTTGAGTGCTCACTACTGCCTTCCAGGGTGTGCGTTAGAAGGCAGCTAGAGGCAGGAGCCAGCAGGCAGAGCCAGATATTAAACCGAGGTTATAGGAGGGAGGCGTCTGAACCCCAATCCTAACGGTTAAGAAAAGCACCTGCCTTTCATCTAGATTTTACGGAGAAATTAAGAATGTGTCACAGCTGGTTAAAATGTGAAACTCTTAAACAAGGTGTTTTGTGAATGAATTGGCATGACTAATTGATGACTGATGCTTACCAAGTAAATGAACAAATTGTATATTTCTTGTACTATGCACATACATATCCTTAAAATAAAAGTGAAATTCTGCTATGTTTACCACCACCACGTGTATAGCAAGTGGCCTTGTTTGCAATGATTGCTTGATCTCTGCTCTACCCTTTGTAGTCATTCTAATACTTTTCCAAATATGTCTTGGGATTAGCAGCTGTCAACGGGCAGAATATGAAACAGATTTAGTTACAGGAGTGGAAGTAAAGGCAGATATTAAATTCCACTTTCACCTGTAGATGAAAAGGAGAAAGAGAAGGAGCCCATTATTTATGGGATTCTATGAACTTCAAGGCTGTTTTCATTGTCAAGAGCAGCTGTTGCTTAAAGGAAAGCAGGTAGGAACTATAACTATACTTTAATGATGTATATTTGATGGAGGATCAGGAAAATGGCATACACGCCTATTCTCTGGCTACTAGTATTTTTTGCTGAGTATTGCTTTATCTCCAGACTCTTAAGCATTTAAAATAAAAAGTAGTTATGAACTGTATTCCAATTGTATTATAAAACTCACTAGTAGCATATATACCAATGTATAACATATGAAGACACAAAGTAAGGACCAGCTTTGTGTTATAATGGGTTAAACTGCTGCTTGCAATGCCAGCATCCCACTGGGCAATGACTTGGGTCTCAGCTGCTCCACTTTCCATTCAGCTCCCTCCTAATGTGCCTAGAAAAGCAGAAGACAGACTAAGTCCTTGAGCCCCTGAACCCGTGTGGGAGATCCAAATGGAGGCTCTGGCTGCTGACTCTGGCCTTGCCCAGTCCGAACCATTGCCACCATCTGGGGAATGAGCCAGTGGATGGAGTGATCTCTTGGTCTCTGTCTTTCCCTCTCTCTGTGAACTCTGCCTTTTAAATAGATAAGCTTAAAAAATAAACATCAATTCATTCCATTTCAGTAAAAAGGTTTTAAAATTTAAGTATGGATTTAATAGACTCCAAACATCATGTGATAATTTACAATCTTATTGAGAGGCACATATTCAAACATAAAATAAATATGGCTGGCTGACACTGTGGCAACTCCCAGCTCTGCTCCAGCTCCCTGCTGATGCACCTGGGAAAGTAATGAAGGATGGACCAAGTGCTTGGGCCTCTGCATCAGTGTGGGAGATGTGGATGAACCTTCTGGCTCCTGGCTGAACCTGGCCCAGCCCTGACATTGCAACTATTTGGGAAGTAAACCAACAATGGAAGAAAGCCCTCTGTCTCTCTGTCTCTCTGTCTCTCTGTCTCTGTCTCGCTCTCTCTGTAATTCTGACTTTCAAATCAATGAATAAATCTTTAATAAATAAATATGATGATTAGGAATGAAGTCAGAAGGATGTTGATCAATGTTCTAGCTCACCATGCAGGAAGGAGGTGTAGTTGCTTGAGCTAAAATCTCAGGTGAGATGGGGGGATAAGAGTGGGCTTGTCGGGAGAATATTGCCTGTGGGTCTCTCCTACTTCTCCAAATTATTATAAAATTATATTATTATATAATTATTTTAGATAAATGTGTAGATAAATGTGTTTACCTCTGTTCTGGGCTAACTTTTCAATCATGTTTTTACAGCGGATAGCTATGAAAGACAGAGACAGCACCTTCCTCTCTGCAAGATGGAGGTGCATGCATACTCCCCATTATAAAACAATAAGACTCCCTAAATGCAGGGTCTTTTCCTGCGGCCCACTGTCATACAGCTGTTACCCAGTGCCTGGAGATGGAGGATCAGGGAAATGGCATGCACGCCTATTCTCTGGCTGCTAGTATTTTTTGCTGAGTATTTGGTTGTCCTCCATGACCCCTGAGTCTCATGTCTCCCAAAAGCATTTTAACTTGTAGCAGGCTAAATTTGTTAGCCTGGAGTGGAGCAAAACGTCAGACCCTGTTTAGTTAGTTTGTGACAGGTATCATGTTCCCAGAAGAGAGGAGCAGCATGCACTGTGGCACAGAATCCCAAGAAATCACATTGAGGGTGAGGAATTGTTACTACTTAAGAATCAAAAGTGCACAGGGGAGAGCTTTGTTGGGGAGAATGTAAAGTTGGAAGCAGGGACAACCTACGGTTCCAAGGAGACCTGCATAGCAGGGAGGAGAGTTTGGCTTTAGTAGGTATGTGAGAGCAGGCTTCCATGGAGAAAGCTGCTCAGGAATCATCAGGTGTTCATGGGAGACACATTGCTGAAAGGCAGTCAAGGGGATGGGCTGGGAGTCCGGGACAAACTTGTTGCAAGTGGCTCAAGCTTTCTAGGATACAGTTCTCTGGTCCCTACTGTTCAGGTCTGATGTCAGTAAGGAGAAAACTCGTGCAAAGTGCCTGGCACCCAGGGACAGTCAGCGGCTGTGGCCATCAGCAGGAGGACTTTATGATGACTGACAGCACAAGATGAGGCGAGCTGATCCCAAAGAGGCAGCTGGGCTGAGGCAGGGGCCAGAGCCATGCAAGGGAAGAAAAGCCTTCAAAGAACCCCAAAAGAAGCAACCACAAAGGTGAGATGGGAAACAGGAGTCACAAAGTCCACTAGGGAGAACATCTGAGGGGACCGGAGGTCAGCAGGATGCATCAAAACAGAGAATTGCAGCTTGGAGGGTCTGAGTCTAGTAGAAGTAGCATTGGCTTCCATTGGCAAAGAAAGACAAGATGTTGGAGTGATGGTCTCATAGCACACAAATTAAACAATGCTTAGGATGGAATTTAGAACATAATATGAACCTTCTGAATATTTTAGTAGAAGCCCTTTGAAAGTTGAATGGTTTCAAGGGTTCTTGCTGTGACACAGCAGGTTAAGTTGCTTCCCATGACACTGGAATGCTATTAGGATGTCATTTTAAGTTCCTATGATGCAGTTCTCTGCTAATGCGCCTGGGAAAGCAACAGAAGAAGACCCGAGTTTTTGGGTTCTGCCAAGCACATGGGAGACCTGGATGGAGTCCTGGGCTCCTGGCTTCGGCCTGGCCCAGCCCCAGCTGTTGTGACCTTTTGGGGACTGAGTCAACTGCTGGCAAATTGATCTCACTTTCCCTCTTCCTGAAACTGCCTTTCCAGTAAGTAAAAAAAAAAAAAAAAAAAAAAAAAAAAAGGATGGCTTTGTGGCATGGTAGATGAAGCAGTGGCTTGAGATGTTAGCATTCCAGATGGGTGCCAGTTTGGATCCCAGCTGCTCCATTTCAGGTCCAGCTCCCTGGACTGATAGCTTGAGAAAAGCAGCAGAATATAGCCCAAGTCCTTGGGCCCATGCTACCCACATGGGAGACCTGGAAGAAGGTCCTGGCTCTGGCTTCAGCCTGATTCAGTCTTGGCTCTTGTGGCCACACTGGGAGTAAGCCAGCAGATGGAAGACCTCTTTCTCTCTTTGTAACTCTGGCTCAAATAAAATCAATGAATCTTTTTTTTTTTTTTTAAAGATGAGTGGTTTCATAAGTGATAATGTCAGTTGTTTCAAAACTATTCCAGCTCAGTAGCTTGTGGTGATGGATGACTGGTGTTTCTTACACAATTTCATTCTTTGGAGTTCACCCATACTGAACTTTATTATCAAAAATAAATTCCTGGAAATAACTTTTAAGGAATGCAGCAGGCTTTCAGGCTGTCGAGCCATGCAGTGTTGGCTTCTATTGTGCCTGCTTTTGCTGGCACTTTGAGGTGCACGTGGAACAGTAGCCTCCCAGTGAGGTCCTTGTACCCTGGAAGGAGTGTGCCAGTTAGGCCATTTGTAGCCTTTCTGTGTAATATGATGTCAAAAACACTCTTTCTAGGCAGAGCTAATTATTGGAACTAATATCCATGTTACATTTGGGCTTCAGACTTTCATGCTCTTCTGAAATAACAGCTCTTTGAAACTAGCTCTGGCTAGCACTTCATTAAATTCTAATGACTCTGTTTTCCTCCCTCAGGATTCTATATCAGACGTGTGTAAAATAGACTGCTTGGCTGAAAGCAGAAAAGCAGCACAAGGATTTGCTCAATCCCCTGACCTTTCTCAAGATGGAACCAATAACCTTCACAGCGAGGAGACATGTCTTCCCGAACGAGGCCTCAGTGGACTTTGGCCTTCAGCTGGTGGGCTCTTTGCCCGTGCATGCTCTCACCACCATGCCCATGCTGCCCTGGGTGGTAGCCGAGGTACGAAGGCTCAGTGGGCAGAGCTCCAAAAAGGAGCCTGTTAACAAGCAGGTGCGGCTTTGTGTCTCTCCCTCTGGACTGAGATGTGAACCTGACCCGGGGAAAAGTCAACAGTGGGACCCGTTGATCTGTTCCAGCATCTTTGAGTGCAAGCCTCAGCATGTTCACAAGCTCATTCACAACAGTCATGACCCCAGTTACTTTGCCTGTCTGATTAAGGAAGACGCCACCCATCGGCAGAGTATCTGCTATGTGTTCAAAGCTGACGATCAAACAAAAGTAAGTTATGGATGGGGACCAGGTAAAGACATAGCTAGACATTTTTAGAGAATGAAGGGAGGGGATCAGGATATCTATTTTAAGTGTAAAGAATAAATAAGGAAGTACGGTCACGTTATATATAGATGGTCTAAGTAGCTGGTTTATCTACATAGTTTGTTTTGATGGCAAGTGATAACAGATACTAGAAATTAGAAGTCAAAGTAGAAACATTTGAGAGTGAGATCTGCCTAAAACTACGAATCACAGTTGAAGCGTTGGTATTTGTATTACTGAAGCGTTGGTATTTGTATTGTTGTGTGCTTTCTCAAACAATGCATCTCATATGGAAACATGCATGTGTGGCTCACCCAGAGAGACTGTTCAACTGTGAGTCCTGATTCCTTTGGTCTGGAGTGAACCTCAAGGTAGCATTTCTCATCAGCGGCCAGGTGCTGTTGCTACTCCTTTGTACCTTGTCCTGTGGGCAGCCAAGTTCTACATCCGTCATCCGAACATGTCATCAATCCAATGAAGGAAACTGCAGCTCTTCCTAAAGTGCATGGGAACACGTTTAGCCAGTTTTCCAAGGCCTAATGTTCACTGAGGCAGAGGTCATTGATAAGGACGGTGAACAGAATTTTAAGTTTTGATCCTGTCAAGGGTTCTCTTGCATTCTTTTTCTGATGTCAAGTTCATGGTAGATCTGATTAGCTTTTTGTTTTATGAGGTGGTTGAGAAATACATCTGTGTTCCTGCAATGGAAGTATTCCTGATGATTCGTGCTTGCATTGCAATGAGTATTATTTGTTGCCTATAAAGAACTCACTTAAGTTTATTTTGTCTATTTTGTGAGAATTTGTTTGGATCCATTTGAAAATACAATCCATTTAGCCACTTACTCAGCTGTGCCTAGGGAAAAAAATGCAGTTCGATTTAACAGATAGCAAACAACCAAACTGGTGTCCATGGCCTGAGGAATCCCTGCTCTACACTGGGTGCCAGACAAGCCTCTTGACTCAAGCCATGTGCCATAGACATGGAGAGGTGTTGGTCAATCTGTGTGACAAACAGCAGTAAAGCTCCAGATTTTCATATTTGCAAGTGCTCATTATGAATCATGATGCCGATCTTCCCACACTTCTCTAGGGTATCACGAATACTGGCTCAGGTGTAAGAGCTTCCTGTAGAAGCCGATTTTTATCAGATATTTATTATAAGTAATTGAAATCTGGAGATAAAGTATACAGGAGATGTGTGTTGGCTGTATTCAGATACAATGCCATTTGCCCTAAGGGACGTGCGCTTCTGTGGGTGTTGCTATCTGCAGAGCGAGGTGAATGGACAGAAGGTGGAGACCGACCTTTGTGCGCACGTGTGTTAGTTCTGGTTCTCACTGTTGCTGCAGACACTATGGGAGTGGACGTCAGCAGAGGCTGAGCGGAAAACAGAGGCATCCGTAGGGAGCAGGACCGTGCACTCAAGCACAGGATGCCACAGAGAGACAAGGAGTAGAGTCTCGCTTACCCCTGGCATGTAAGGAAGGCTTTGGGAAGTGAAGCGTAAGGTGGATGTCAACAAAACCCTTTCACCCACAGGCTCCCCCATCGATCTTACTAAAAGTCGCCTGAAGTTCTTCCCCATGCTTCTCCTGTGGGTGCTGTACTATTGTCCTTAGGAACTCAGCAGGACCAGCTTCTTGGACGCCAAGCCTGTCTCTACTACCTCTAAAAAAGGTGGCCTCAGGCAGCTGGGGTGTTTCCCCATCCATAGCAGGTGTATGTTTATCCCACAGAGCTGCTTAGAAGAAATGAGGCAAAACAGGAAGGCCGGTGAACATCTATGGCTAGCTATTTTTTTTTTTTTAAGATTTGCTTATTTTTATTGCAAAGTCATCTGAGAGGAGGAGAGACAGAGAGGAAGATCTCCCATCTGATGATTCACTCCCCAAGTGACTGCAGTGACCTGTGCTGCCGATCTGAATCCAGGAGCCAAGAACTTCTTCCAGGTCTCCCACCAAGGCTTTGGGCGGTCCTCAACTGCTTTCCCGGGCCAGGGAAAGGCAGGGAGTTGGGTGGGATGCGGGGCTGCCGGATTTAGATCCGGTGCCCACATGGGATCCCGATGCGTTCAAGGTGAGGACTTTAGCCACTAGGCCACTGCGCTGGGCCCCATTTTTTTTTAATTCGAGAAAGCCAGTAAGCATTTATGACTATAAACTTTTTTTATTCAGAAACTTTTCCTAGAAGCAAATTATATGCTAATTTCATTTTCAGTCTTTTTCTATTTTAAAGATTTATTTATTTTTACTAGAAAGGCAGATTTGTAGAGAGGAGATAGAAAGATCTTCCATATGCTGGTTCACTCTCCAGGTGGCTCCATCAGCCAGAGCTGAGCTGATATAAAGCCAGGAGCTTCTTCCAGGTCTCTTCCATTGATCCAGGGTCCCAAGGCTTTGGGCCATCCCCAACTGCTTTTCCAGGCCACAAGCAGGGAGCTGGAAGGGAAGCGGAATAGTCAGGATATGAACCAATGCCCATATAAGATCCTGGTGCATGCAAGATGAGGATTTAGCCACTGAACTGTCACTCTGGACCCATTTCCAATCTTTAGTAGAAAGAAATAGTACACTAGAATGTGTGGCTTTATCTCTGAAGGATGAACTTCTGGTCTTCATTGAACAAAAAAATCTTATGAGCCAGACATTTGATAACACTGCTGTAATCGATTTAATGGCTTCTATGATTTGGGCAAATTTCAGAATGAATAAATAAGAGAGGATTGACCAACCTGTGTGCCAGGTATGCCCGGTGGAAAGACTGTCTTTTTTGGGGAAAGGTTTGGCATGTAAGAGCTGCTCAGTAATTTATTTTTCCCCCAAGCTGCTGACAGCCTTCTGAGAACAGGATCTGGCTAATCACCCAGTGAGCTGATGTGAGGAAGCAATGTTAACTCAGTCCTATAATCGGGGCTGCCAGTTGTATCCAAAGTAGAGAATTGGCTTTTATTTTCAACTGCCATGGCTGAAATATGAATTTGTTCTTGTTACTTTTGGCTTACATACAATTTTCACAAAACAAATGATCCTCACTCAGAGTGTAAATTGCTGACATCCAGCTCATTTTATTAAAAGGAGCGCTTGCAGAAGAGGCACCTCAGTGGCTGTGCTTTGTTGTTGGAAACAGAACTGGAAACATACTGGCCGTTATTCCAGTGGCATGGGGTCTGGTAACGCTCTTGGCACCTGCTAGCACTGTCCTCTCATGGCTCAGGATTATCTGCTGTAGAAGCATGCGAGTCTCGATAGTCATTTCTCTGGACTATTTGCAATGTTTGTCCAGTGGACTAATGGTCAAGGTTAAGGCCTCTTCTGAATGGATGAGGTCAGCATCATTGAGGCTTGCCAGAGAGCCCTATGCATTGACTGCCAGCATCCAAAGCACACAACTCCTTGTTGAGGAAACCCTTTGGTTAGCATCTGAATTCATTTGCTTAAGAATGTCTAAGGAGAAGAGAAACACAGAGCATCATTTTGCAAGCACATCATGCAATTGCATTTCCTGTTAATGCCCTATTGCATAGCTTCAAGCTGTTCTGCATGGAAGGGCTGCCAAGGTCCAGGGCACGGGAGCAGCGATCCACCCTTTTTAGCTGGAGAACCCCTTTTCTTTCTTGAGCATTCTTGTGGTTCACAAAGAGCATTCACTTGTGTGGGTATACCTATCAGTGTTCACTACAGTTGGAATTAGAAATATCAAAAAGATGTTAACTTATTTACAGGCAAAAGTGAGCAGGTATCTGGTGCAGTACCTAAGGGGTGAAAGAGAAGGATCTCTCTCTTAGATCTCTCTCTTTGGGTCTTTCCTCCCTTGGAGCCCTCTTCCTGACACTAGGGCAGGAGCCTTTTTTCTCTCCTTAAACAAACCCTGCTTTACAAACTAGAAAAATGAAAAGATTGGGTTCTTTTTGTTTGTTTTCTATGTACTTGAAAGGCAGGATGTCAGAGAGAAGGAGAAATGAGAGAAAGAAAGAAGTGAGATCTTCCATCTGCTGGTTCACTCCCCAAATGGCTGCAAACTCTGGGGTGGGCCAAGCTGAAGCCAGGAGCCTGGAACTCCATCCTGGTCTCCCATATAAGTAGCAGAGGCCCTGGCACTTGGGTCATCTTCTGCTGCCCTCCAAGGTGCGATAGCAGGGAGCTGGGTCCAAAGTGGAGTAGCCAGGACTTGGACACAGGCCTTACAAGTGGTGGCTTAATGTGCTGTGCCATACCATAGGCTCTGTCTGTTGCATTTTGTTCATTTGTTTTGATAATCCACCATCTGTTTGGGACTTTCAGTTTGCAAATTTAAATATGTATCATTTATTTTAGGACTTTCAATAAAGCCTGGCATCCAGTGCATGCCTGGTTTAGCTGTTTGATTTGCCAGCTCATTACTTTTCCTTGCTAGAGTGGAGAAGGAAAATGACAGCAGTGAGTGGGAGCTTCCTGAGGGTGATCATTCCGTGGACACAGGTACCCTGTCTGTCCCCCTGTGGTATTTGGTGATCGTTGTTGCTGAATCTCAGTCTCTCTTGCTACTGAGGGAATCGTTCTGAGAAGGTTTAGTGAGGTATGTTTGGGAGGACATCTTATCGATTCCACTAGACAGCTTTAATCCCATTCTGGTTTATTATATAAGGTTTCTGCAACAATGACTCAGGGCCCAGTTGCACAGAACAGTGTATTGGTGTCAGTTCATCGGCACTTGACCGTCTGTCATGCTAGACTCAAGTCAGTTGCTGGGTACAAGGGTTGGCACAGATTCTTTCCATCTATAAAAAGAAAGACGGGGACTGCATGAACTCCAAAGTATGTGTTGGAAGGTTTGGATTCATGACACTGGATTGATTGCATAATTTATTTTTGACTTTGAAAAATGAACCTGAGGGCTTTAAAAGAATCTACTTTGCGATAGGGGCATGATATTTTTTTAAGTCTTTAAGTAATTATAGAGCTTTGCGTTTGTCACCAAGTGTTT